CCTGCTGCATGTTAGCAGCACCAGCAGAAGGTGTGAGAATTTAGACAGTTAAAATTTGCTTGACAGGTTGCTGTTACAAAATTTCTAGTGATATTATTCGTCGAGCATAAACAGGAAATGGCCAAAAGCTGTTCCCCTTCAAAAGCCTGATTTTTACACAACTGTCAATCCAAGAATTACTTTGTCTTTTTTTAAAAGGTGAAGAAACACGTTCTAGGGATTTTTTTTGTTTGTTTTTTTAAGAAAGTTTTGAAACCTGCTCAAAACTTCTCTTTCTTAAAAAGAGATTTTTTAATCAAAACGTCTTCAGATCCTGAGGAAAAGCAATGAAGCAGAAACCGTATGATTCCAAGGCCAGGATTTTCAGAGGAGCAGTCGGCGCTGAATTCAGGCGTTCTTGCTGTGCTCAGCAGACTTGGCCCGGCAATCAAAACCATTTGATTCCAAAGCTGATACTCCTATAACCAGGCAGGTTCCAGCACATTGTGAGCTCTGAAAAAGCATAATTACAAAGAATGACAAGGACCACACGTTGACTTAATGTAGCTTGCTCCTTTCAAAGAGCACACAGCTTTTTTACATGCATGCTCCCATCTGTCCTTAGAAAACCCTCAACTGGTAGGTGAGTGGTGGCTACTGCCCCCACATTACAGCACAGGAGGCCAGCACAGCAAGAAGGGAAGTGGCTGGGCCAAGGCCACACGTGTCACTGGCTCATAGTGGCCCACGAGGAAATGCATGGAGTTGTTCATCCAATATTTTTGAGGACTGACTATGTGTGAGAGGTGGGATTACCAAAAACAAAGATATGGCCTCTGACCTTGAAGGGTCCACACTAGGTAGGGAGGGTGTGATGTGACACAGCCGTGTTAGGGGAGATGGTCAACATCACTGTGCTCAAGAAACTGCCACTTCAGCTTCTTCTCCCACAGAGAATAGCAGCAAGTCTTTAGGAAGTATGAGGCGCCAGGCCAGGCCTTACACAGAATGGGAGAGGACGTAGTTATCGCTTATGTGTCTGCATCATTTTTCTATTGCTGTGCAACAAATTACCACAAACCTAATGACATAAAAGGATGCAAATCCATTATCTCACAGTTTCTGTGGGTCAGGAATCTGAGTACAGGTTAACTGGGTCCTCTGCTCAGGGACTCGCCAGACTGAAATCAAGGCGTTGTTGGCCAGGGAAGCAGTTCTCATCTGGGGCTCAAGGTCCCCTTCCAAGCTCACCTGGTAGTTAACAGAACTTATTTTCTCTCTGTTGTATGACTGAGGTTCCTGTTCCCTTGCTAGCTGTTGCCTGGGGATTGCTCTGCTCCTAGAGGCTACCTGCAGTTTCTTGCTGCCTGGTCCCTACAGGCAGTTCGCAGCATGGCTGTTTGCTCACTTTCGGGCCAGCCAGAGCTTGTCTCTTGGACACTTCATGGTCTTCTAAAGTCTCACTTGATTAAGCCAGGCCCACCCAGGATATTGCTCAGTTATCCATAAATCTGTCCTCACTGCTACCACCATAATCTATATTATCTGTCATCTGGACTTTCAATGCATTCTGCATTCATCAGCAACCTGGTCATGGGGTGATATCCCATTATGCTCACAGGTCCTGCCCACATTCAGGGAAGGGGATTATATAGGGCATGCACAGAAGAACTGGGGGATCTTGGAGGACATTTTAAAATCCCGCTTTGCAAATGTCTTTGCACTGTGTCCCTGCATTCCACCTTTA